CTTTTAGGTATGCGGTAGCGGCTCGCAGGTCGCATTATGAGATGTAGAACATGTGCACAATGGACTCGCAGGTCCGGTGGTACATAGGCGTATATAAGCAGTACTCTTTTACGTCTGATGGGTACCATGTTTACATTGGGTTGGGTTTTAGATCCCGAAGGTTCACTTCTGTACCTTTCTTTTCCCTTTTCCAGCACCCACCTCAGGACCGTTAGTGAGACTTGCAGGTCTCCATTTGTTCAGGATCCCCTCTAGACACGCAGGTCCTCGGTGATATTGTGCATAGTGTCCTATGTGACCGTTCAATGAGGTGTTGCCTCCCCACAATGATTCTATCAGAATCTGCTTTGCGCTACGTACAGTGTTGATGAGGATAACATAGGGAACGTCCTGCAACCCAATATTAACTAATAAACTTCGTAACAGGCTAAACTGATGGGCTTCCGCCCCATTTGCTGTGGCGTTTAGGTTCCTGTCCACCGACCGGGCCATCTTTCCAGTCAGGGAGAAGAACTGGGGACTCGCAGCAGCCTGCATGTTCGGGAGGGTACCCGCCTGTCCCCACACAGATAATGTGAGTGCATGTGGCCATAAGCCATTTTAGGTATTGCAGGCGACTACACCCTGATGGGTATAATGGTGTAACCTCAGCAATCAGGCCCTGGGGAGTCAGCATAGCTAAACGGACAAGGGTACATGTATGAGTGTGGGGATGGTGCTAGTTATTGGCTATATGTGTTTAGGGGAGTGGTTATGGATTTGTAGTGGGGCAGGGATCATCTTACCTCAGTGCCTTTAGGGATTCTGGCCAGCAAACAACTTCCCACCCACCCACCCTAATTTTCTGTTTTTGTTCCGTCACAGCTAGTGGGGAGCATGTCCTTGCCAACAGGGTTGGGGAGCAGATGGAATGTCAGGAGATTGGTGGGTCTCAACCTCCCCTGCTCTGTAAGGTAAACTTTTAAGTTACCGAATAGGACGTGCCCACCGAGCAAAAAGCCGGCTGGTGGTAGAGCATTTAAGATGATGGGAATTTTTGGTTTGGACGAGGGGGGAGGTGAGACACCAGTGGGTAAAGTTTTGGTGCATAGGCACCTGGTTAAGTTCGTTGGCAAGGACGGTTATTTAAGTTGGAGGCTGTAGGTCAATAAGTGTCATTTATATGTTAATTTATATGTTAATTATGGTATGTATATATATTTATCTGTTTATTTATATTTGAATTAAAGAAAAAGAATAAAGTTCGGATGAGTCCTACAGTTGTAAGTTTAATAAATGCTGTGGCCTGTTTCATCCAATATTCGTTGTTTGTCATTATTGGGGTGAGAATTGGGGTAGTCTCCTTACTCTTAGTTGCACCACATTCCCCGCTACATGGCTGGGTATGCGCTCTGCATCTTATGCACCCCGGTATGCCATTGCGGGGTCAGTTTCCGGGACAAGAGGGCGGAGTGGGGCGGTGCGGTGGGGTGCCGTACACTGGAAGCGGGTGTAGGTCATCCAATTAGTCTCCCTGTGTCTCCTACTGGGGGTTGACAGTCCCTCCCCCCATGGTCAGATACGTGGTCCGAAACGCCTCTGTGCCCACTCGCACCAGCCAGGGCGTCCATGTGTGTCTGCGCTCGGTCTTGAGCCGTGTACCAGAGCTCCTCTGTAACTCGCAGCTCCTCCATTTTGGTAAACCAGAGGAAAAGCGTTGGGATTGTGTCCTTTTTCCAGTACAGGGGTATTAGGTGTTTTGCAACATTCAGGATTCGAATGGTCAGGGAGCGTTTGTATCGTGGTGTAGGGGTTGTCGTGTGGTGCAGGAGGTAGGGGGCTGGCTTAAAGGGTGGTGTGTTGTCTGTGAACAGGGCCACTATGTAGGCTATTTTTTCCCAGAACGGTACTATGAGTGGGCATTCCCACCATATGTGGAGGAAGGATCCCACCCCTACCTCGCACCTCCAGCAGAGGCCATCCGTGTCTATGTGCATTGTCTGTAGGCATTTTGGTGTCAGGTACCATTGCGTTAGAACCTTATAGGCCGTTTCCTGAGTTTTACTAGCAATTTACTAGCAATTGCGCAGATCTTGTGCCACTGGTTCTCGGTGAGTGTTTCCTCTATGGCGGTTTCCCATTTGGACATGAAAGGGGTGCCACTGTTGTCGTTGTAGCATTGAGTAAAGGTAGGAGATGCTGTGGGACATGGGATCCGGGTCCTGGAACAAGTTGTTCGAATGGCGTGAGGTCCCTATGGATGTCAGGGCGTTGGGGTATGGCGGCAATGTAGTTTGTAATTTGGGTGTATCTAAAACCCGTCATGAAGGTGTGATTGGATCAGGGCCGGCGCGTCCATAAGGCGGCACAGGCGGCCGCCTTAGGGCGCACCGGCTCTGGGGGCGCAAAATTCCGGTGACCGGCAGGAGGGAAGTGCTCCCTCCTGCCAGGTCACCTCCTGGATCCCCGGCGCGGCGTGCGGCTGAATTGGATGCCGAGGGAGCTCTGATCTCTCTGATGTGCTCCCTCGCAGGCTGTTTGCTGATGACGTCATATTCCGGCTCCCGCGGCATCAGTCAGCAGCCTGCGAGGGAGCAGATCAGAGAGATCAGAGCTCCCTCGGCATCCAATTCAGCCGCACGCCTCCCAGCAGCCCCACTGGACCACCAATGAGAGACCCACGCCAGCTCTCCAGGTAGGGAGGCTGGGTGGGAAATTTAAATTTAATTTAGATGGTTAATTACTGTGAGTGTGTGCATATGAGTGTGTGTGAGTATGTGTGTGAGTGAGTGTGTCTGTCAGTGTGTGTGAGTATGTGTGTCTGTCAGTGTGTGTCTGTGTCTGTCAGTGTGTGTGTGTGTCTGTCAGTGTGTGTGTGTGTCTGTCAGTGTGTGTGTCTGTCAGTGTGTGTGTGTGTGAGTGTCTGTCAGTGAGTGTGTGTGTGTGTGTCTGTCACTGTGTGTGTGTGTGTGTGTGAGTGTGTCTGTCAGTGTGTGTGTGTCTGTCAGTGTGTGTGTGTCTGTCAGTGTGTGTGTGTGTGAGTGTCTCTCAGTGAATGAGTGTGTCAGATAAGTGAGTCTGGCTGTCAGAGATGTCTGTGTTTGTCACTGAGTGTGTGACTGTCAGTGTTTATACACCCCTGACTGTAGCGTGGCCAAGCGGAGTGTACCGTGGTACAGGAACTTCTGTTTCCTGTACCTGGAAGGACTGACAGGAAAAGCTCACTGTACCGGGATTTGCTCCGCTCAGCCATGCTACAAGAAAGGTAGGAGGCACACCAGGAAGGGGAGGGGACCACTATGGGGGTGGGTGGCACACCAAGGGACAGGGAGAGGAGGGGAGAGATACCCTAAGGTACAGGAAAAGGAGGGAGGGGGGAGAGGAACACTAAGTGACAGGGAACAGAGGGGGGAGGGGAGAGGAACACTAAGGGAAAGGAACACTGAGGAACAGGAAAAGGAGGAGAGAGGGGAGAGGAACAGTAAGGGTCAGAGAAGGGAGGGGACCATTAAGGGACAGGGAGAGGGGCTGGATGTGAAAGAAACACACACCGGTGTTTGAGAAGGAAAGAGACACAAAGGGGCTGGGAGAAAAGGAGTCACACAAAGGGGCTGGGAGGAGTAAGACACAAAATGTGGGAGGATGTAAGAGTCATACAAAGAGGAGAGATAGGAGACACACAAAGGCAAAAGGAGTCAGATATTTAAAAGACGGGATAAGAAACACAAAAGGGAGGTTAAGAGGCACATGGGTGAAGATGTTTTTTGGGGGGGGGGGCGAAAAATGCATCTTCGCCTATGTACCCAAAATTCTTTGCACCGGCCCTGGATTGGATGTGCCAGTGAGTGTCTGTAGTGGCAGGATTTTCCCTTAGTGGTTATGTCTCGGAGTCTGGGTATATCTTGTGGGAGGACTCAGCGGAGGTTACCTGGTCTCATCCCCGGTTTCAGGGTTGTACGCCAGGGGTAGCAGTGGGGATGGGAAGGAGAAGAGACGTAGTTTTCTCGCTTGTGAGTGCCATATAGAGAGAGTGGCTGTAACAAACAGTTGTTGGGAGACTAGCCGTCTGCCGATGGTGGGGTCAAGCCACAGGAGGGCTGAGAGGGGCCGGCCCGCGTGATGGGCTTCGATAGCCTTCCAGGGTTTGCATATCCCCTCCTTTGCCCATTCCAAGGCCCGTTGCATGTGGCATGATTGGTAATACAGTTTGAGGTCAGGGACGGCCAGGCCTTCTGCTGTTTTGGGGAGTGTAAGTTGTGTGTATTTGAGTCTGGGTTTAGTGCCTTTCCAGATAAATTTGATGAGGATGGTACGGATTGACGAGAAGAAGGCAGTGGGGAGTGGGATTGGTAGGGTTTGAAATAGGTAAAGTACCCGTGGAAGGATGTTCATTTTAGCAATAGCCACCCTGCCGAGCCAGGAAAAGTGTGGTGTGGCCCATTCTGTCAGATTCTTCCGTATAGCTCCCAGGAACGGGGTAAAATTTGTGTTGTATAGTTTGGGCTTTTGCTGGTCTTTGAGGTTTTGATGGCAAGGGCCAGTTCCCCCTCAGTCAGTGGTGCCTTCAGGGCTTCTGCTGCGTCCGAGGAAAGTTTGGCTTATCTAGTAAGGTATGAATTTATGCGAGATGCCCCTGATTTCAGGTCAGCTCGGGGAGTGTGTGAGGGGAGTGCATATAGGTCTGTATAAAAGCGTGTTATTGCTGTGGCTATTTGGTCTGGCATGTGGCATAGCTGGCCCAAGGTGTCACGCATGCACGCAATATATGTCATGGTGCGTTTTTTGTTGATCATTCTAGCAAGTAACCTGCCACATTTGTCTCCATCCGCGTGGAAAAGCGATTTGGTGCGTTGAAGGGCCCTAGTGTACGATTGTCGCAGGATCCGTGCTAATTCTTTGCGTGCTTCCGTGAGTTCCCCTAGGAGTGTGTCATCCAGTGTTTGTTTTTGTGCCTGTGTCAGGTTCCCTATCTGAGGGGTTAGTTCTCGGATCGTGTGTTCCCTTGCCTTTTTTAGGGCAGACTAGCGTGAGATAAGGATCCCTCGGATCACACATTTGTGAGCCTCCCATGTCAGGAGGGGGGATGTGTCTTGTGGTGGGTTCTCGGCAAAGTAGTTTGTCAAGGTTTGTTGGACGTCTTGGGCCACCTGCGGGTTAGATAGGAGTTTTTCGTGGAGCCGCCATGTAGTAATTTTACGCTTGTATAGTGGTGATGTTAGTTGTATCGTGTGTGGTGCGTGGTCTGACCACATCGTCCCCCCTATGATGGAGTCCCGTAGTCTGGGTAGGTAATAGCATGGAAGGAAAAAATAGTCTATGCGTTTGTAACAGTCGTTTGGGGCGAATAGAAAGTGTAGTCCCTGTCTGTCGGATGTGTCGCCCTCCAGCAGTCCATAAGTCTGTACTGGTGGAGGAGTTTGCGTACTTTGAGCAACGTGGGAAGAGGTGTCGATGAGTGGCCTCTGGATGCGTCCACTGTCGGGTGCAGGGCAATATTGAGGTCCCCACCTAGAACCAGACAGCCCGCCGTGAAGTCGTGTAGGGCGCGGAGTGCGTCCCACAGGAATTTGTCCAGTCGCGTGTTTGGAGCATAAATGTTGGCAAAAGTATAGGTTTCATCCAGGATTCGACCCCTGACAAACACATATCGGCCCGCGTGGTCTGTCATGGTCGAGTCAGCCACAAAGGGTATAGATTTATGCATGACTATTGCTGCCCCCTTGGGTTTCCCGTCTGGGTTGTGCCTGTAGAATCCCTGGGTATGTGGTTACAGAGTTTCGGTGCGGAGTCACTTTTAAAGTGAGTTTTTTGGAAATAGACCACATGGGCTCTAGCTTTCTGACAGAGGCGTTGGAGAGTGTGACCTCTTTTCAGGGGAATTGAGACCCCTGACGTTTAGGGATAGGAAGGTGAGTGGGGCTGGTGCGTATTTGGGTGTGTGAGTGGCCATGTTATCAGGTCCCGTGAATGTCTGTGTCGCCCCGGTCTGTGAAGGCAGGGAGCGACTCAGGTAGGTAGGGCACGGGATAGGGGGAGCACAGCAGGGCAGCGGGTAGCTTCGTGCGATGGTATAGAGCCCCACCCAGTGTCGTGCGGTAGCGTGGGTGCCGTCCTGAAACCCGGGCATGGAAGGGGTCACCCCGCGGGAGCGGAGGCACCGGTGTCATGGGGGTAGGGATCCTCCGACCCAGAGACTGGAACGGATGATACCCCACCTATACAGAAGACACCGGCCTCTCGGGTAGTAGAAGGCGCCTTGTCAACCAGCCGGCTGAGATGACTGTGGATCACAATGAACAATAAATGATAACTGTTGTAACTCAAAAAACGTGGCTTCTTCCTGTCACCCTAGTCGTGGGCGAACTGGTCACCACCTTGGGGTGGGTCCCCGGGAGTATGGTCAAGTCCCAACAGGAACTATAACCTCTCGATGCGCGCCTCCCCAAGTGGTCCACTCGTGATATAGTGTAGCCCCATAGGGCGGTTCCTCCTCCTCTAGGTGTGCTCTAGGAAGCCCGTGCCGCTCATGGAAGTATCAAGGGTAGGTAATCCCCTACTGGGCTTCACCTATCAGTGTATTGCTGGACCGCGTAGCTCTGGGGTCAGCAGGTCACCAAGTTGTGTGTGCAGGCACATATACAAAGTACTATACAATGCAGTATACAATTCTATATAATGCAAATACCAGCAATTATTCCGGCAAGGCTTACAGGAGGAGAAGAAGAGAAAATAAAAGGGGGGGGGGGAGCCCAGGGGAGACCAAAGACAGGGAGGGAGGAGGAGGCCCGAGTGCAGACATTCCACAGACATAGGTAATTACCTCGTCCCTGTCCCCGCGGGCCATGCCCCCCCAGGCCTCCCAGACCAACCAACCAAGTCGCCACCGTGTCCAAGACAACCCCCTCGCACGATCAGGCCGTAGCTAACATAGGGCTCAGCAGCTGTCCGCACAACCAGGCAAGAGGGGTCACTCAGATCCGCATTGTAACTTCAGACAAAAAATATATTAAAAAAATATATATATTTTTTTAAATTATATGTAAAAAAAAAAAGGAATATGTATATATATATATATATATATATATATATATATATGTATTGTTTTTTATGTGCAAGTGTGAGATGTCCAATATGCCGGTCGGCCAAGTTTGTACCTAAGGGTGGGGACGGTGTCCAAGTCAGGTTGAGGCACTTCCTGCACTAGAGAGGGTCAGCATGGTGCGGGGCGGGGGGGAGTCATGCCCACTAGCGGGCAGTACCTGAGGGTCTAGTGGCCTCCTGGCATCCCCACCGGGTGCGCTGCGGCAGCGCCGGTCTTGGGTAGGGGTTTCTTGCGGCGTTGTAGATGTCCAATGGGTCTGGCCACCTCATGTTGATAGCGGGTAACTGGAGCTCCGTGCCCAGCGCTATGTAGTCGCTGTGTGTGTGGACCAGGAATGAACTTCTCGGTGTGTGAACCAGCAATCCCGTGGGCATCTGCCATCTGTACAGGAACTGTTGAGTAACCAGTACTCTCGTGAGCGGTTTCAGGGCACGTCGGTAGGTCAGGGTAGCCGGCGACAGGTCCGGGAAGAGTTGCAGGTCTTGGTTCCGGTAAGTGAGTGTATGTTGCTCCCTTGCTTGTTTAAGGATGGTCTCCCTGGGTGGGCTATCTGGTGAGCCCTTTGGACGGAGGGCTCTATGCGCTCTCACAAAGTCTATTGGCACCTGGAGATTGCGGCCCAGCAGCCCATTAAAAATTTCCAGGAGGCTTTCCCACAGTTGGAGAGGGGAGTCTTCAGGGAGGCCGCGCAGCCTAATGTTATTGCGGTGCCCCCTGTTGTCTAAATCCTCTATGTGTAGGGCCATGCCACGTACCTGTTCAGAGCAGGTGTCTGCAGCTTCTGCTAAGATAGTCTGGGCTGCTCTCAGGCTGTCACTGGCTGCCTCCACGTGGCTCACACGGTCAGACAGGCCCTGCATATCTGCTCTCAGTGCCTGGATGTCCTGCCGGATCGTGGCTCCTAGCTCAGAGGTGGCAGAGCGGAGGTCTTCTTTTGCAGGCAAGGCCCTCAGGAGATCTAGCCATGGGGGCCTTTCAGTGCCTCCTGTTTGCAGGTCGATTGCCGGAGAGGAAGGTGCAGAATTCTCGGATGCCATTGAGCCGTCGGTGCCTTGCGGCTGTGTTGCGAAGTCTGCGGGGGTCTCCAGGAACTGGCTCAGGGATGAGGTGAGCTGTCCCTTCTTGGTATCTGGGGTCTTCCGGGTTTGTGGGGCTCTGTTTGATCTCCCCATGTCGGCAAGGCAGGCTGTCTGTTAAGGGCTTTCGTGTCAGGACCCCGGCGGAGGGAAAGTTTATGCTGCCATTTTCTTCGGCTGACAAGCCGCGCCAGGTTATTATTATTATTAGCATGTATATAACACTATATACTAACGTATTCTGCAGCGCTTTATAATATTATAAGGGGGGGGGGGGAATTTAACTATAAATGAGACATTCACAAAATGTTACAGGAACAATAGGTTGATGAGGAACCTGCTCAAACGAGCTTACAGTCTAGAGATTACGTGCATTACATTAGTTTGGAGACCAATTTAGTTCTAAAATTAGTTTAGCGATCCACTCTTCAAATGTAGCATAGTATGTAAAAACATATTGAGCACTTTGAGAAAGTAAATGTCAGTAAGTGTGCTCTTTTGCTCTATGGTGATACTTTCTAGCTACATCCTAGATCTTTCAAGTCCCAGCACTGTAGCTCAGAACAGGTCCCACCAGCATCTACCCCCCTATAGTAATGCTAACGGGGAACACAAAATTATGACTTATGCTTCTTAAACATATTTTTTTTAAGAAACTATGATAATTGTTTATATAACTGCATTTACAGACATTTACAAATGACAACTAAAACTTAATGAGTTTTTAAAAGAGCATAGAAAGAAAGTCAGAAACACATTAAAACTTCATTAACTTCATTATATTAAATCTGGTTCATAAAGCCTCATATTCTTCTTTGTATACTCCCCCACTCCAAAAAAGAAATAAAAAAAACAATCAATGAGAACTAAATATAAATCACTTTTTATTTATGCAGGCTCATCTCCCATTGAATTCCTATTAATCACCATGTGAGTGGGTACAGGACACATTGATGAGAGCTGGAAATAATATTCAGAATATTTATGAAGCCAAAACTCATGACTCATACCTTTCAAGAATGAGCTTACTCATACTTACTCTGCATAAATCAAACCATTCTAGATCACCATATGTGTAATTGAAACCATTCTAGCACATATATGTATACATCAAACTGCTCTAGAACACCATATCGCTGCAAAACCCCTGTCACCCCATTCTACAAAACCCTCTTCTGTGAAGTTCAAATCAGTGACTGTGATGGCCACTGTAAAATTGTCCAGTACTTCTTCTCTCAAAGCCTTGGTGGAATTTAAGGTATGCTTAGAATCATGCTCTTTTTGGAAGGTCCAATGATGCCCAAGCTTCAGCTTCCTCACAGAGTACATTACATGTAACCCTAGGATTTCCTGATACCTCAATGAATCCATCTTGCCTTCCACATGCTGCAGGTTACCAGTCACCAGAAGATGCAAAGCAGCCCCAGAGAATCACAGAGCCACCCCAATGCTTAATTGGAAGAGTGTTCCTTTCATTAAATGCTTAATTCTTCTTCCTCCAGCCATACCGCTAATCCATCGGGCCAAAAAGTTCCAGTTTTGTTTCATCGCTCCACAGAACAAAATCCCCAAATTTCTGTGGCTTATTTATATGATTTTGAGCATATTCAAGATGATTTTTCTTGTGATTTTTAGGTCAGTAGTAGTGTACTTCTTGAAGTTCTGGCATGGAAACCTACTGCATTTAGTACGCACCTCACTGTGCTCACTGAAATCTCAGTGCCTGTTGCAAACATTCTTGCTACAGGTATTTTCCATTCACTTAAGGGTTTTTCTCAGCCTTTCTCAGGAATCTGGTTATAGCTTCCTTTTTCTGCACCATCCAGGTAGTGTAATTACTGTTCCTTCAACTTTGAACTTGCTAACTAAGCTTCAGTGGTGTCTCTAGGAACATTCAGTGCCTTTGCTATCTTTTTGTATCCTGTACCTTGTTTGTAAAGGGCAATGATCTCTACTCTTAACTTTGTGGACCATTCTTTTGACTTAGCCATATTTCTAACATGCAGTCAAATGTGACGCTAAACAAACCCCTAGCCAGTTCAGGTATTTCAAGTGTTCCAGCTCAAGGACACCTGCTGCAGCTAACAAAGCCCTTATTTTATTTATCTCCTTATCATTGGCATTTATAAAGTGCCAACATATTCCACAGTGCTGTACAATTAGGAAAAACAGACAATAGGCACAGACCAATACAAAAGGTAAATAAGGCCCTGACCTAAGATTTTGCTATTGAAGTTCTTTTATACAAAGTGCTTAGATAGGCAGCCCGTGAGCTTACAACCTATAATGGGGATTTGAGACAAGAGGTTGAAGTGGGAAGTGATGACCTGAGGAAATGAACAGAGAGTTGAAGCTACTCATAAAATGTAAAGGGAATAAATGTGTAATGAGTAAGATCTCAGACAGCTGTAGGAACATGCTATACATTTAGAAGAAATCTGGGTGGACAGGAGGAGGGGGGGGCAGGCGGGCAGATCAGAGATGAGGATGAGAAATGTACAGCTACAGGGGGCAAAGGAAGGAGGCAGAGAGTGGGTGAGCAAACAAATGGTGTATACAACAGTGGCAAACACATACACTCACATGTATATTTCCTACATTGACACACCATATCCCCTATACACACTTTAATCTCTATGCACACATACTTCCTACATCCCCTGTACTCACACTCAATATATTTGCTAGACACATAAGCTGATGTTTACATTAATTATGGTACTTTTTCCATTTCTAGTGGGTGCATCTTATATTCCTCTGCCTCTTCTGAAAAATATGGTACTTTTTTTTCTAATGTTATACAACTTTTAATATATTTAATGTATGCACTTAAATTACTGTGCGTAGAATAAATATCCCAGCATTTACCTGATGTTATCGTCTTGTTTGACCAATTATTTTCAATGAGACTAGTTCCTTCTTTTCTCACTCTTTTCATTTCAAAGATTTTTTTTTAAATTGTTCAATTTCTAAACTTTACATATATTCCTTCATAGAACAGTTTTTGCACTTATTTCATCATCTTGGACCTCTAAGTACCCTCTCAGACCTATCTTATCGCACCTTATGCAATCTCATTAGTCTTTGTGGGTCTTTATGGGTGTCTTCCCACTTCCCTCACATTTGCCAATGTAATATCGATTTTTTTTTTTTTTTTTAAACTGTCTAAATAAAACATCTGCATCTATCTTCCCTGGCATGTCTCATATTCTCCTCAAAGCTTCTTCAATTATTTATTCATAGCCTCCTGACTAGATTTTTCTATTCCATCTCACCCTAACCTACAAAGCTGTCAATAACTTTCCACCAAACCTCATATCTTCTCCCAGACCTCATAGCTAAACCAGATTTCTCTATTACCGACCATTACCCTTTATTTGCTCATACCCCTATCCTTAACTCTCCTTTACAGACATTCACAAGGGAAGCACCATTCCTATGGAATACCTAACATATTTCTGCTGGAAATTACCTGATAAAAATGGCAACATGTCCAGAAGAGAGGAGAAGAAAAATTGGCAGGTATGACACAGCATCTGTAAAACAATGGACAAAAAAATACATGATGTGTTTGAGTTAAAAAGTGAAAGAGGGTCGAGACGGGGAAAACTGGAGCAGATAAAGGAGTTACCTACTAAATTGGCAAGAGGTTGGTTTTCAGGGTCTGCTTAAAGGGTTGTCGATTTGGGTAAAGTCTAAAAGGATAATGAAATGACTCAAAGTCAACAAAAAAAAACATTTTTAAAAAGTAAATTGAGAAGATTAATTATTTTTATTATTATTTATAGAGTGCCAGCAATTAATACAATTAATGGTCACAAAAACAGGCAGACAGAATACATCCCAAAAGTTATAATAAAAATAGGTCAACAAAATTGCAGAAACTATTTGCCCATGCTTGAAAAATAAAAAATAGGATACATTTTTTGATGTCGATGGTAAGAATAACCCACTTGGTTAGTAATAATTAAAGTAAAATAAAAAAATTAAAGTACCTTTTTTACACCTTTATATCACCATTATAAAAATAAGTAATAGTTGTGTATGTAGCACTATCCAACAGATAGATAACTAATATCTCACAAATGGAAAGTAACAGCTGTTTTTTTTTAATTTTTATTTTTATTTTTTTGTGCTGGTAGGATACTGTATATGTTGTTGCAAGCAGATTAACTGTGATATTTTTTTTTTCTGAGTCCAACAGTGCCACCAACTGGACATTGCAGCACTTAGCACTTGCCCAGCAGAGGTGGCTAGCCTTGAGATTTGCTCCTAATTACACCCATCATATCTTATCTGTGAAGAAACAGAGGCTTTCACCTGAAAGGTGCAGCAATTCTCTGATGAAGGTATTCATGTTTCAGAGAGATAAAACTATTCAAAGCAGGTTTGAAATCCCCATCCTCTGTGGAGCTGTGGATTGAGCAGCCATGAGGTATGTAAAATGCAGATACCTCCTCCTCGCTCTTGCACAATCACCATTCCACATTCTATCTGATTTAAACTGTGAAATTTAGTACTGGATGAGATCCTTTATAATTTCCATATTTCTGAACTTCTCCGTTCTCCTCCTTTTTTTTTTTTTTACTTTCTTCTAATTCACCTCAATGCTGTAAAACCTTTCAATAATTTTTATCATTAAAAAAAAAATGACAGGGGGTATGAATATGAATGTAATACAAATATGCATTCACATCATTGTAGCTTCTGTTAAAGATTCATTGCCAACTCATAAGCTTAAAACATTTTAAACCTGGCAGTGAAAGAGTTAAGAGGAGTTGAACAAATCATCTCGTAGTTATTGCAGGTTTTTTCTTTTCCTTTTTTTTTCTTTTTAATTTATCCCATCTGTTCATTGAAATCATTGCTGTCCAACTCATCAGATGGTGGGACTTAAAAATGTGTATATATTCGCTCCAATAACCTGGAACTGTATAGCATTAAGTAAATAATACTCTGCTTTAAATGAAGGTATGTCCTGTATCCAGTTATATAGGTTTGTTCTCACCCAAGCCTAATATGAGCAAATCAAAAGTCCCTACAGACCTTGGGGTTCTCTACTATCTAGTATACCTCCAATGTGTCCAGCATTCGGT